TGTTCGGTGTTTACATAGTCATAGCACAAACTATTCTGTGGCTCTAGGAAAATCAGTCAAAATGCTCCAAAAACTCTGGCAGTATGGGACTCTGTTCTGAAAATGGCTGCCGGTCAATGAGTTAAAGATCTTTTCCGTCCGCATTGCAAAAGCCTCATTCATGAACTGCGCAGCCCCGACTGGACCGTTTTTAATATAATAAACCCGAGCGGACATAATCGGAACAAAATTACAAAAAGATAAACAAAGACGCGTCCAGTCTACCGTATTTTCCGCACTATAAGGCACCTAAAAGCAATTTTCTCCCCTTATACATGGATCAGGATTGAGTTGAAACAGGTCTGCTGCTACGGAAAATTAGCAACTGACTCCGTTTTCTCCCTAGAAGGCGCCCCCTTCTGGAGACTCCACAGTACTGCTCCCATTTTAAAAGTGGACGCAGTAAGAGAAGGCGGCTGTTTAAAAAAATGTGGACATTAAAGGTTTCTGATCCTAACTATGACAACAGGTAGTTCAAATAATTCTATACCAGCGTTTTGTTGTTTTTTTTACGAGAAAAGCTTGTCAGCTGTATGCTAGCCTCCATATGTTGTGATTGACTAACGTTTGATTTACCGTAGAGATATCAGACTGTTTCTTTGACGTGTTAACTGAATGGAGGAAAAGTTCCCCTCCCCTAGTGATTAAAAAGCTGCACGACCTGTTATACGTTGTTGTTGTTAAAAGATAAAATATGAGATAAAGACACTACGTCACTGACATGAACTCGGGAAAAATAATAAAACATTTGTTTGTTCATTTTGGGAGTGAACAGGGTCGTCAGAACGCTGGTTTGTGTTCTGTTAATAAAGTCTGACTGTTTTGTTGACATTCTCTTTAGCATAGCATAATCTGGTGGATGCTAACACAAAGAATGCTTATTTTTACTCATCAGATGGTTATCAATTTTTATAAATTCATATGATGTGATTTTCTGGAATTTTCTTTGGGATTCTGTCTTTCACTGTTAGAATGTACATATGATTAAAGTTATAGATCGTTGCATTCTTTGTAAGTGGGCAAACCTGCAAAATCAGCAAGGGCTCAAATACCTATTTCCCCCACTGTATGTGAGAAATACTTAAAATAGGCCGGTCATTATAATGCGGAAAATACGGTCGTAATAAGAAATGGCTGAAAACTCCCACAGGCAGAAATAAAGAGGATGCAATCATGCTGGGATGCTTTCTGGGCCTTTAACCTGATTGGACGACAGGGGAAACATTGTGATTGTTTTAGTTGGACTGGGGGGGGAAGGGGAAAGTAGAAGGGAAAAGAGGGTTATTGTACTTACGTCCTGACTA